ATAAGTGATGGGGTCTAAGGAGAAGCTAGTCTAAGTCAAGTTGGAAAATTACATGATAGACTAAAATTCCAAATGAGTACGCACAAGACAAAAATTTGGACGAGCATATATATATATATATATATATATATATATATATATGTTATATTGGACGAGCATATATATATATACATACATACATATGTATTTATAAGTATGTATGTATATATGCTCCGTTTATATATGTATGTATGTATATATGCTCGTCCAAATTTTTGTCTTGTGCGTACTTATTTGGAAGGTGTTATGTGATTAACAACCTATCAAATGAAAGATCTTCGAGTCTAGTTTCTAACGCTTCAAGCCGTTTGTCATTTAGACACTCCTACAAGAAGTTATGACCAAATTACCAAAAGCTGCCAGAATGTGATTCTACGGCCAATTGTGCGACCGCAGAATAATTGTGCGAACCACAAAATGGCCGCAGACCTGACCAGTGCAGCCTAGTCTGGGCATCATTTGTGGTCCATTGTGTGACCCGCATATCCATTGTCCGCAAACCTGAGTTCGGAGGGTCAATTTTTCTATTTTCATAACCTGATCCCATTTTAATGAATAAGCTTTGGGGCTTATTTTGAGACAATTATTTGATAATTTTAGAGAGAGATAAGAATATTTTAGAGAGAGAAGGAGGAAACCTAACATTCTAATCATCCAATCTTGCACCAATCTTCAAGAATCGAGGAAGCCAATCACAAGATCTTCATCTAAGAGATAAGGTTCCATACCCTAGCCCTTAATTTCGAATTTTAACTAAAAGATGGGTAATTAGCAAGACAATTCTTGGGTATGGGAGTTGTTTATTTTGCATCCGTGGGTTATCAAAGGGTGTAGGAAGATTGTTGAGCTAAAAAATGGTAAAGAATGGGTTGTGGGATGATGGAATCCTCCATAAAAGGGCTTTGAAACCTTAATGCACACCCAGTGTTTGATAAAATGCTCAAAAGAGCTGAAACCATGAATATCTTCCTAATTTGTGTTCAATTTTGTTACGTCTCAAAATAGATTGGGATTGCTAGAATTTTTGGAACGTTGTAGTAATTTAAGGAAAGCTCAAAGCGAGTGTATGTTGGCTAAACTACTCTCTTAGAATTGGATTACATGATGTTCCTATGAGTTTCAAGTATGGTTGTCTCAAGTTCCTTATTCTATGTTCCGAGTTGTTCCCAATAAATTTGATTGTCCTGAATAAGCAAAGTGTCGAGAATTATGTAGTCAAAACGTGTTCCGAATGTTCCTATCACATTATGTTATCTTATGGTAATTTGTTCAAGAATGATATGTGTATTAGAATGCTATGTCTTTGAGTCGTGTTTCAAATGAAGGTTATGATACCAAATTGTGTGAGAAAATCTCAATATGCTTAAGACTTTTAATTGCTTATATGTGTACCTAAAGTTTTGATTGGAAATGTCTTATTGTTGATAAAATATAAAGATGTTTGGAAGTGAAATAAGTGAAATGGGATATAAAGTGTGGCCAACTTGCCAAGAAAGAATGTTATACTTGTGGCCAATGGTGCTGATGAAATGAAATGATCGATGTGAGAAAGGTTATGAAATGAGCCTTGATTCAAGTGTTCTAAATGACTTCGAAAATAGATTTGCCTAAAAGTTTATGTACCCAGGTCATGCCCAAATGTGGTTATTTTAACTAATGATATGTCTTGTAAGTATTCCAAACATGTTTTGAGCTCTTACATATTCATGAGTTGAAATTGTGTATTGCCCTCTTTGGGGAATAGTATTTCAACAATAAATGGTGTGTTACTTGTTTATGATTTTAATTTGCGCTTCGACTGCCAATCATTTTACTCCATTTATTGGAAAGAAATCTATTGTGTTTAAAGTCTTCACTTCTAATGAACTTAAAGTAGCGATTTTCGGAATAATCTATATATTGATATTTATGATGATGGCCCATGAAAGGAAAGAAATGAAAGTGTATAATATGAAATACAACCATTGTGCCATGAAAGAAGAATCACATGTATGGCCCAGAGAACCAATGAAATAATAATGTTATAAATGGTTAAAGTACCAAAGAAGCTATATACGATATGAAAGGTTATGAGGTAAATGAAATATGTATTTATGTTTCCTTTGTATGCAAATAAAAAATGTTATTCCCCTTGTTTGGGAAGAGATGATATAAAAGGATGATGCCTCACATGAGACGGCCTAGCCGATCGGGTCGTGATCGGACGCATGCCGCACACATTGTGGTGACTGTATTAGAAATTGTAATTGAAATTATGATTATGGTTAATGTCTTCAAATAATACGGCCTAGCCGATCGGGTCGTAATCGAACTCCGTGCTAGATTCACGGTGGTACATTTGCACAAGATTGTGATTGTGCTTGAGATTATGATTATGGTTGATGTCTTCAAATAAGACGGCCTAGCCGATCGGATCGTGACCGGACTCCGTGCTAAATTCACAGTGGTATTGTGAGGTTGGTTATGATGTGTATATTGTGAATAATGGTATTGTTAACAGTGGTATTGTGAATAGTGGTATTGTGAACTGTGGTGAATCGGTACTAAAGATCTCCCAACCAAAAAAAAATAATAATATTATCTTCATATTTTGGAAATTATTATGTTTTAACTTGGAAATTGGATATCATTGATTGTTGATTGTTGTTTCCACGGTTTTCCCTTTTATGTTGGCATTCAATTTTGAAAGAGGACAGTTAGCTTTACATACTAGTACTATTCCATATGTACTAGCGTCCCTTTTGCCGGGGACGCTGCATCTTCAATGGATGCAGGTGATTCCACAGCAGGCGACATTGATCGGTTATAGCGGTACACTCTCTTCAACTGACTTGGTGAGCCCCACTTCATTTGGGGTCATGTATCTCTTGTTTCTCATGTACTTTATGTTTTGAGGTATAGCGGGGCCTTGTTACCGGCTTTCCACATTACTCTTCAGTTGTACTTAGAGGTTCCGTAGACAGGTTGTGGGTGGTGTTTGATATTGAAAATTGAACTAGAAATGTTGGTATTTGGCAAATATATTTTTCATTATATTTATAAACTTATAATATTTTGGAAATTATGAATGAAGCTGCTAATGGAAATGAAATAGGAGTTGTTAATGAAATATTTTCAGAGTTTGATTAATGGAGTACATCTCCTCTTTATTCATGAATTAGTTTGGGTAGAAGGAAATATAACAGGCTAGCTAGGCCGGGTACACTTGGTTGAGCGCCGGTCGCGTTCCCCGAGTTTGGGGCGTGACACTAGTGTTTATCGACATGTTGTTGGTGCATTCCAATACCTTACACTCACAAGTTCAGGTATATCTTCCTGGTGAATAAATTATGTCAATACATGCACAATCCTTCGTTGAATCAACGGAATGCTGTAAAGCGAATCGTTCGCTACCTTCAACATACTAAGTTTCTGTCATTCTCATCTCCAATACTCATCAACTGATGCTACAAGCCTTTACTGATTCAGATTGGGCTGGAAGTATTAATGATAGTAAGTCCATCAGTGGTTATGCAATTTATCTTGGCACTAACCTGATCTCCTGGTCTTTTCCAGAAAGCAATGTATAGTGGCGAGACCCTCCATAGAATCTGAATATAAGGCTTTGGCTAATGCAGCAACGTAGTTAACATGGACTCAATCTCTCATTTTTGAACGTGGAATTCCTATTCCTCATGCTCCCATCCTTTGGTGTGATAATATTGGTGCAACTTACTTGTCCATTAATCTTGTTTTTCACTCCCGCACTAAGCATGTTGAGATAGATTTTTTATTTTGTGAGAGACAAGGTAGCTAGGCGAGACCTTACCGTTCAGTTTCTCCCATCCAAAGATCAATTGGCTGACATTTGTTTCTCCTACCCAAATATCAATTGGCTAACATCCTAACTAAGCCACTCCTCAACAAGGTTTCAATTTTTACGAGACAAAGTCAAAGTGAAAGATCCACCTTCTGTTTGTAAGGAGGGTATTGGACTGTGTCTCCTTGCGGAGTTTAAACGACAAGCCTCGTCCAACTAAAACTCTATCGGATCTCTCTTATGTTTATCATATAGAGTTTGCTCTTATCTTGACTTCTTGTTGGTTTGTACTATAAAATATATGTTGTACCATGTTAATGAATACCAATAAAGATTGATTTCAGTGTGTCATTCCAACGTGTTTCTAGATTTTACACATGGTAATGATTCACTGAGGAAGAAAAAATCGATAAAGCCTATCTAGTTGAGAAGAAAGTGAGGAACTTATTGTAACTATACTCGTCGTACACTCTGATGCTCAATTTGCATACACAATTAAATGTCACAAATATAGAAACCCCCCTCTCATAAGAGAGACACTCACACATAACAGACAAAACAACACAAGTAAATAAACGTTCCCAATCAGTAAGTAGTTGAATAATTACTTAACGCATTATTTGGAACATTCATGTGTTTAAATTTTATTTTAGGCTGAACTTTATTCTTCTTTTTTAGGCCGTGTGTTAGAGTACTCATTTTCTATAAAAATTATCAAAAGCTTAGTTGTCCAAAGATTGTGTTGCATATTACATTGTGAAAGGATTGACACACAAATTCCATTGATGTTTAAATGAATCCTACGCAATTTTGACAGGCAACAAATGGTGAAGCAGTTCCACGAAAAATTGACAATTTTATTAATTACCTAGAAAAAATACTATACAATGCCACTTTTTTATTTTTATATATACACATTTACTACTTTATCTATCATCACATTTCTTTCAATAAAAATTTTTTTGATGAAAACGCCACAAAAAAATAGAAGATAAAAAACAAATGTATGATGCCTTTTTTTTCTTCTATTTTTTAATAAATTAAATTATCTTAGTACATGAAATCATTTTTATCCCAATTCCCACCCACGACCCAACCACTCACGTGCACGTGACTGCTATTGCAGCGAGAAAGAGAAGGCTGCCATAAAGAAAACGCATTTCACTTTAGTTTCAAACTTCAAACTCCTCTCTCCCTCTCTCTCTCCTTGCATTTTCTAGAGAGAGAAACACACACACAGAGACCCAACTTTCATTTTCTCTCTCTACGATACATACACAACATATACTCCTTTGTACCTAACCCCCATTCGTAGAGAGAGAAACTAAACCACTCTTCTCTCTTTCTCTCTCATCATAATTCTGGGGTTTATAGAGGAGATCGTATAACCCTAGAATTTGGGGCAAAGGAAATGGGGGAAGAGTATATAGGGAGAAGAGTCAACAAAGAAGTCAAAGGCGTTGGAACATTCACTGGTACAGTCAAATCCTACAATTCTACAACTGGGTTCTTCGAGATCCTCTATGATGTGGGCGATTCCGAGTCTCTTGACTTGTCCCAAGTCCTCTGCTTGTTGAACGGATCACTGCCACGTCAGCAGCATCAGCAGCAGAAGACTGTTGGTCGAAAGCCCAAAAAACGACGTCGTATGGTAAAAAATTCAGGTAACAACGCTGACACGGATATGAATTATAGTGAGAATTGTAGTGAAATGAACTTGAATTTGAGAAAAGATGGTTTGCTGAATAATGGGTTGAATTTGGATTTGAATTATGATGTGATGGTTAATTTGAATGATGATGATGATGATGGGGTAGTTGATTTGAATAGGAGTCAATTGGATTTGAATAAAGGGTTGGATTTGAATGTTGAGGAGAATATGGGTGGTGTAAATGAGGTAAAGTTGGAAACTTTGGAGGGAACATTGAAGAATAGAAGCAATGTGATTGATTTGAATGTGGATGCAAATGGGGACGTTGGGGGTCGTGTTTCGGAGGATATTAGGATAAAGGATGGTGGGCACTGTTTTGACTTGAATTTAGGGCTAGATGAAGAAAGTAAGAATGTAGATGTTGTTGTTGGTGATGAGACGTCGAAGGAAATGATGACTTGTTGTTTTGGAGGAGGAAGAAGTCGGGAGAAAGAGTGTAGTCGAGATGAAGAGAAGGTCCCACTGAGTTTGGATACTTGTTTTACTGTGAATGAGCTAACAAATGGCACTCTGCAGGAAGTTGAGGTGAAGTGGACGACGCCTGATAAGGGTACTAGTGGGTTGGAAGTGCAAAATGGTGCTTCGGGGAGCTTGATGAAGGGGAAAAGGGGTAGAAAGAAGAGGAAGCTCCTGGATGCTGGCAGCAAAGGTGGTACGGAGACGGTGTTGAGAAGAAGTGCTCGTAGAGCGAGAATAGATTCCGTTTCTGCTGAAGATCACGTTTATTGTGCAGTAGTGTCTGATGTAGCGAGTGATCCACTGTTGTCTCCTGCAGTTAGTGTGGTTTCAGAGGAGAAAATTATAGTCTCAGGTCATGAAGAGTCTGATAAACATGACAATCTTCCGCAAAAGATGGATCTGCCTCCTACTTCGAGTAGTTTAGATTTAGATGGTATTCCTGTGCTTGATGTCTTCTCTGTCTATTCATTTTTGAGATCGTTTAGTACTTTATTGTTCTTGAGCCCCTTTGAGTTGGAAGACTTCGTGGCGTGCATAAAAGCAGATGCTCCTACTTTATTATTTGACTCCATTCATTTCTCTCTTTTGCAAATATTGAGGAAGCATTTGGAGGCTCTTTCAGATGAAACTTCTGAATCTGCATCTAATTGTCTTAGGTAAAGTTTTGAACTCTCAAAAAGTTGTGCGTAAGTTTTTTTTTGGCTATAATTCCTTTGATACTCAATTTTATCTGTACATTTACAATTGTGGAAGTAGGTCTCTTAACTGGGATTTGCTGGACCTGATCACATGGCCTGTCTTTATGGTTGAATATCTACTATTACATGAATCTGAACTGAAGCCAAGTTTTGATCTTTGTCACTTTAAACTATTCGAGAGTGATTACTACAAGCAACCAGCTTCTTTGAAGATTGAAATGCTTAGGTGCCTTTGTGATGATGTGATTGAAGTAGAGGCCATACGATCAGAGCTTAACAGAAGAACTGTGGCAGCAGAGAACACTGATTTTGATCGGGATTCGAAGTTTGACAGTTCCAAGAAGAGGAGGGGTGCCATGGATGTTGCCGCTGGTTCATGCTTGAGCGAGGAAGCAGTCGATGAATCAACAGACTGGAACAGCGATGAATGCTGCCTCTGCAAAATGGATGGTAACTTAATATGCTGTGATGGCTGCCCTGCTGCATTTCATTCCAAGTGTGTTGGTGTTGCTAGTAGTCACTTGCCAGAAGGTGATTGGTATTGCCCTGAATGTCTGATTGGCAAAAAGAAGCCCTGGTTGAATTTGGCAAAATCAATTCGAGGGGCAGAGTTGTTGGCAACTGATCCATACGGCCGGCTATACTATAGCTGCTGTGATTACCTATTGGTGTAAGTTCCATCACCCTAAAGTTAGTAAGTGATTGTACCTTCTCTGACAGCCAGGTTGCTCTTTGAAGCTTAATCAGTCTGTTTATGCTTTAACATTTGTCTTTCAGCACAAACGTTTGCACTGTTTGGAACAGTTTGCATTAGATAGTCTGAATCAGTAATATGTTCTAGGTTGCTGTTGGCAATAACTTTTTCCATTTGATGTGGTGATCCGTTAAAATTTCACAAGCAAAGTAGTATTGTAATGTTTGTGTCTCAATGGAGTCAAATAATTACAAGGGATTCATATAGCCAAATCCTACATTATTTAGGACTCAGTCATAGTACATTTACATTGAAGTTGTGATTCTTGAATATGTCTGATGTCATGACAAGTTTGTTACTAGCTTCATCTCCCTTCCATTCTTGAGAGTTTTATTATTCATATTTAATAAATCACCATTTGTCTTAAAGAAGCTTAAGTGACAAAACATGAATACAACTGACCAATAAAACTTTCCCTTCCATTTAGTAGTTGAATGTTTTTCGGAAACAAGGTTGATTTGTACTATCACCTTTTTCTAATTCTAATGTCTTTATTGAAGTATAGAGGAGGGAATGAAGATGGTAGATGTCATTTACATAAGAAAAAACTAGTTTCTAGTGAGAGAAACTTCCACTTCTCTCTAACCTGGACTCAATCAAATCTCAATTCACTGTGGGTCTCTCACTCTTTGTTAATAATGACGAACCCATCTCTAACATCCTAGATTATCCGATTGCACCAAGTAATACAAGCTTAGTGTATCATAAAGAGAAAAGTGGATCAAACAGACTGATAGACATGCGTGCCGTGTATTCGTGAGGAATTATGGGGAGGTAGCTTCACGACCAGATATAGTGCTTGATAGAGAGTGAAGTTATAAGCTGGTTATGTTAGTATCTATATATGATTAAGAGACATTGGTGAAAGTTGAAAACTCTTCTTGAAGACGTGCTTTATTGGTCTCTTTGATTGCCAAGTTGCTTCTATAAATGGAGTCACGGTCTCACGGAGGGGGTGGCTAGGTTGCAGAAGGTAACTGCTCGCCTCGAGGTCTCTAGGTTAGTAGTTTCACATTCTAAAAGGTCTCTAGGTTAGTAGTATCATTGATCATGTTGCTTTGTTGGTCTCTTCGGCTGCCGGGTTGCTTCCATTAAAAGGGTCATGGAGTGAGCAACTAGGTTAGCCTCAATACCGGATTTTCCCACATTAATAAAATTATTTGCTTTATTTAAAAAGATAGAATTGTCTACTTGTAAGGAAAAAGTCGTGATAAATAAAGAATAAATAAAGCTTTACTGAGTGTGTTAGCTAATTTCTAGTTGTCGATCATAGTCTCAAGGGTGGAAGCTAATGGTTTTGTCATATCCACCGCGATTGTCTAACTTTGATCTCCTATAATTCTAGTTTTAAATTTTACATTATGGTCTGACACTGCATCTTCTTTTATTAACTGTGCCAAAATGTGGTAGTTGTCATTGGCTCATTTCTAATCTGGGCACCAGACTCGTGTTTTTCTTGTTTTTTTCTGTTCTTGACACTTTATCATTTGTTTACCAGTTTCTTGGTTTAAAATAATACTTAATTATGCTCACAAGTTGAGTTTTGTGCTACTGTCCTTGCAGGTCTGATCCATGCGAAGACGAGTTCTCACTTAAGTATTATCACAGAAATGATTTGGCTGTGGTTGTAGGGATGATGAAGTCATCAGAAGATATTTACGGAACTGTCTTAAGTGTGATTTTGAAGCTTTGGGATATAAACTCTATGGCTGCAGTTGCAAAATATGATCTGGATACCCAGCTGAAAACTCTGCCCTCAAATTCTCCAGAGTTGATCCTGTCAAAAAATGAAGAGAAGGTAAATGAAGGAAAGCAAGCGGAAAAGCTCTTGTCATGTTCGGATGATGTGGGATATGACAAGTCAGAGACTGTAGACCCATCAATGAAGACGGGAAATCTACCGCCAGGATCTGAAGGGTCAGCTGAAGTATCTCAGGTTGTTACTGACAATCAAAATTACAAGGAGGCTGGAACATTTGAAGATTCTGATCTTACAGAAAAAAATATGGAGACTAGAAGAACACTTAAAGAAAGAAAGGGCAATGAATCTTTGGACTTGGGGACATTAACAATGAGCAGTAAAGAAATCATATCAGAGGAGCAGTATGCGGAAAGTTATGTGAACCATTATAGCTTTGCCCGAATGGCATTATCAGTTGTTGAAGAGTTAACAAAGAAATCACCCGGTAAGTCTGGTGAAGGTGCTATAAAAACAGAGGAGGAAATTATTTCAACGCAGCTGAAGGCCATATCTAGCAAATCTACTGAATTTTGCTGGCCCAATGTTCAGAATCTGAAGATTGATGCTTGGAAAGAAAAATGTGGGTGGTGCTTCCCTTGCAGAGTTCCAGAGTGTGAAAATGACTGCTTGATCATCCAGAATAATGCAGGTCCTGCGCCAGAAAGTTTTTCTAGTGATGCATTGGGTGTCTGTTCTAGGAAGAACAGGAAAAGCCATCTTGTTGATGTCCTTTGCTACATAGTGAGCATTGAGGATCGGCTTCATGGGCTTCTGTTGGGTCCTTGGTTGAATCCGCACCACTCTCAAAATTGGCGCAAAAGTGTTCTTAAAGCACATGAAGTTGCTGGACTAAGATCTTGTTTGCTTACGGTAAGGATGATCATCCCTATCTTTTTATATTTTATTTAATTGATAAGTCAAAAAATTTTCATTCATTAGCAAAGAGTTGGTGTCAAAAAGTATGTACAGGAGGTGCATGCGACTTCGCATCCATTGTCTTCCACCTAGTTTACCTACTACCATACGGCATGGTGTTTTCCCTCGGACTAAAAATACAAGTGAATTAAAAAAAGAGCTCTTAATGTTTTCTACATCATTCTTAATATTATCATCCCGCCCTTTTTGTCATTTTCATTTGCAAAATGTCTTCTACTTCGATGAAAATGATGTGCTCGTAGTTCATTTGTTCATATCCACATGGAGCTTGATCTTCCCGGCTTAATGCTTCATGTCGGGGAAAATATTCTTTTAGGCAGTTATTTGTGACTTTGATAGTTTAGTAGGAAGCTATATCCCTTCTCGGTCCCTAAATTTTTTTTGGAGGGTGGAAAGGTCAGCTGCACTAGCTATTTCCAGTTATGTGTACTATGTGATTTTAAAGTTTCACATGGTATGACAGAGAAACTGGTTTGGACTGCGAAATGCTTTTTTCTTTTGAGGTCCAGTGTGTATATCACAATTCACAACTTCCTATTATGATTGACTAAACTTTATGCACACTGCTGTCGATCATGGGGAAAAAAAAGTGCCAATATCACCCTCAAAAAAATATATATGACATGACTTTGTTAAATATGGTTTAGTACTTGGGATTCTTTCCTAATACAAAGTACGTTAGTCTAAGAACATAGTGAACATGAACCAACATAAAGATGGATCTTTGGCGCGGTTTCAAAAGTCCTCTTGTTGGAATGAAGGCTTGTCATAACAGTACGCTTACTTTAGGTTCAGTGTCTGCTAAGAGTCTTTTAGCCTGTTTAGAGATGTGTATGACAGTATAAACTTCAAAGAATTCGTAGTGTCAGAGAAACGCAAGGTATTGAATGTCAGAGTAAAATGAGTCTAAATGGGGTGAAATGGATGGTGAGAATTCATATAGCCGATCCTAAGTAGCTTAGAATTGAGACATAATAGTAGTTGTAGTAGTTATTACTGCATTTCATATCTGTATAGATTTCTGACTGATACTTTTGGTGCCAGTTAGAGTCGAACTTGCGGCCTCTAGCACTTACCCCTGATTGGCTTAAGCATGTGGATTCTTTAGCCAAAATGGGTTCTGGGCATCATATCGTTACCAATTCACCACGTGTGTCTTCTAAACATGGAATTGGCAAAAAGAAGGCTCGGTATTTGGAGCCTGAGTTGAATCCATCTTCAAATGCTGGAAGTGGGTTGGGCTTGTTTTGGTGGAGGGGGGGAAGGCTATCTCGCCGTCTATTCAACTGGAAGGTTTTGCCTCAATCATTGGCGTGCAAAGCTGCCCGACAAGGTCTAAACATTTGTTTTGTTTTCTAATACAACTTGGGTTTCTGGTCAACGGAACAGTTGAGCTTAATTTACCTAGAATTATCATGTGCAGGTGGATGTAAGAAGATACAAGGCATGTTATATCCGGATAATTCAGACTTTGCCAAGAGAAGTAAGTGCATAGCCTGGAGGGCTGCTGTTGAGACTTCGAGATCTGTGGAGCAACTTGCTCTCCAGGTACGCTTTCCATGCAATTCAGTTTCGGCTACTAATGTTTAACCGGAAAGAAATGATCTTCCTGGATCTGCTACCTTAATGTGGCACTTCAGCGGTGCAGATGATATATGGTCCTATATGAAGTACCCAAATTGTCTCCATTGGACATAGATAGTTACTACTTGCGTTAATTACAGTAGCACTTTTCCTTATGGGCTATGGCTTGTGTTGAAAGGACATCTTAGTTGTCTTTGTTATTGTTGACAAAGATGCATGCTTGAGTGTGGTTTATTGAGCTTTTGGTTCATCGTTTTCTCTTTTTCACTTTTCAGGTTAGAGATCTTGATGCTCATATTAGATGGAATGATATCGGAAACACCAATATCCTTGCAATGATGGATAAGGAATTTCAAAAATCTGTCAGATCATTCAAGAAGGTTATTGTACGCAGGAAAAGCTCTGAAGGATCTGTAGTTAAATATCTTCTTGATTTTGGTAAAAGAAGATTCTTACCTGACATTGTTGTTCGATGCGGAACAATGCTAGAAGAGGCTTCAAATGAAAGAAAGAGATATTGGCTAGAAGAATCTCACATGCCCTTGCATCTTGTGAAAGGATTTGAGGAGAAAAGAATTGCTCGCAAATCTAGCAAGATAACTGTTGGGAAGCATCGTGAGACCAAGAGAATAATGAAAAAACCTCTGAAGAAAACGGGCTTCGAATACCTTTTCCTCAAAGCAGAGAGATCAGATTATTATCAGTGTGGGCATTGTAACAAAGATGTCCTAATTAGGTATGATGCTTCTTGATATTTGTGAAAAAGCTCCAGTCTGTTGATAGCATGCACAAAATTTCTAGCTTACATGGATGAATTAATACTTCTTTCATAATCTGGGAAGTTATGAAAATGCTGTTTTTGCTGCTTATAGTAATTGTGGATAAGGTTTTTCTGCTGAAAAAGAAAGGGAGTAGTTAGTTATGGGAAACACGTGTCGTGCAGCAACTTCTGAATAACCTTGCGAGCTCTATCTTTTTCATTCAGTTGCTTTCTTCATAAAAGTCATTTAGCATTTCAGTCTTAGAGCCCGTTTGGCTTAGCTGATTTAGAACAGCTGATAAGCATTAGGTGCTGAAAAGTACTTTTAAGTGCTGAAGCTGATTTAAAAAATAAGCAGTTACATGTTTGGATAAAAGTGCTGAAATAATAGTAAGCAGCTGAAGAACTGGGTATGCAAAGAGTTTTGTTTTAAAAAGAAGTATTTTAGGGGTAGAATAGTAAATATTTTGGTCAAACTTAAAGTTCTTATAAGCTAAAATTTGATAGGTTTGGGGAGAACAACTTATGGCTTTTGACTTATTTTTGGCTTATAAGCACTTAACTTATAAGCCAAAAAGTGCTTATAAGCCAGTTTGACCAGCTTATAAGCTTAGCCAAACACCCTCTTAGTTTCAGCTCATTTCTGTTATGTTTACTTTTCCTGCTTTCCTTCTTCTTCTTCTTTCACCATTTACTTAGTATTTCCATTAAGAAACAAATAACTGTAGCAACTTTTGCAAATTCAAGACTATATTGATTGTTTACCTTTGATCACCTTGGGTTCTGATATCAGGTACCTTGTCTACTGTTAAACAACAACAACAGCTACACCTCAGTTCCAAAAAAAGTTGTGGTCGCCGATATAAATCCTCACTTCTTTCTTTAAGCTCAACTCATATAATCATCTTCCCAAACTAAAATAATAGTAGTCTACTGTTAAATGACAAAATTTGAACAGCTTTATACCATAAACCCCCCCCCCCCCCCCCCCCTAAAAAAAAAAAAACAGCTTGCAGATGACTTTTGACCTCAAAATCTTGATGTCATACATGTGTATAAATCAATGCTGTTAGAAGCACGTACATGCCGAAGTTAGGTGCAGGTAAGGTTGGGCTTTCGCCACACTAAGGCGGTGTTCTGCCGCAGGCACTATTATTTAGATCTCAGTTTTAGTCGGAGTAGATTTATGGTTTGATTATCAGCTTATTATCCAAAAGTGATAAGTGGCGAATCTTGTGTATATGCAAAGGTAAAAAGATATGGCTGTGTTTTATGCAGCTGCAAACCCCATAGGAAAAGGAAAAAACAAGAAAGAAATTAGAAAAGGAGGGATCGTAATATGTGATACTTGGGACTGTTATAATTTTTGGTCTTTAAATATGGAGTCTTATATTTGGCAACATTTGATTATAACTGTCAGACAAAGCAGCTAGTATTTCCTTGTTATGTCCAGGAACATGATTGCAACTATGCTTTAGCAGTTGATATATTTTTACCTTGCGAGGAAAATTTTTCTACCTCCTTGGAGATGCTGCCAACTTGTTGGTCGCTTCTCTGTCCTATTTTTTGGGATATCATTTTTACTTTGTGGAAGCAAGCAAGTGTGAAAATATTGTCACCCTTGAATTATGTTCATTTTCACTCTTCTGTTGAGGTCTACACAAACTTGCCCCTGAATAACATTGCCGGAATAGTTTCAGATTTCCAGTATTGTGTGGATCTGATTTTCGAGAATATTTCCTTTTCGCTTGTTTCCTGTGCATGGGTATGTTAGTTGTCGTCGTCCAGTTTCTAACTGGCTCTCTATGTTCTGGTACGAGTCCTAACTAGATAAAATTAGGTATTCTATCTGTGTACAGTTAATAGAATGAAGAATTTGGTCTTCCATTTTCACTAGATGTTTTACTCTGAATTTTTTTTCTTAAGATTAATTTTCTTTTGTTACTTGCAGGGAAGCTGTGAGCTGTCAGTACTGCAAAGGTGAGTACTTCAGTTTCTCCTAATAAAACTTTCTTACCGCTCTACTCACTTGTGAACTGTCAAGTGGTCATTTTATAATTATTGTTAAGTACATCAGGTAACTGAGGACATTCAATGACGTGTGAAATATTTTGGGATATTAACACGACATGAATGATACAATTGATCTTTGGAACCATATTGGTATCTGCATGTTATACTCAATCAAAAAGCAAGGATATGCCTTTAGTTGGTTGATTTTTTCCATGGCCCAAGATTGGGTTAGGTGGTCATCTTATTAAGCACCAGTTGCACCCTCTGCAGGGATTCTGCTGTTCACGTTGTCAGATTTGCATCATACTTCCAAATAGCAGTTTCGAATTGTCTGCTATTTCCTTGGCACTTCAGATTTTGATTTATTACTAATTGGGATGTTGTTATTTTAGTCTCTGTTCTTAGTTTTGCCAATAACATCTAGATGTAATTGCATAGTACTGACGACAAATACAAATAAAAAGATAGTTTTCCATCTCAAATAACTTACACTATCAGATGAGAAAATAACATAATTCAATGGTATTGGGGCATGTGAAAGTCCTTCGTTTCTAGTAAGTCCTTGGTCTCTAGTCTCACCATCACCAATGATCATAGAATTTCCGTGATAGTCGAATTATCAGCCCACATGCGATGGCTATGCTTAATACAAGTATTCCTCCTCTAATAGTTAAAGCTATCAAATTGCTTGATGAGATGGTCACATAATTCAATACTAATAAGTTGGAGGAACACAAAGGTCTATTGTTTGTTTGATTTAGGCAAAAGGTCCTACCTTTATTTAGCGTCGAGGCTTCAGTACCTTTCTGTTTGGTGCTGAGACTTTTTTCTCCCTCGAGTTTACTGTATCAGTTCCATTGTTCTTTTTTTTTTTCATTCAGTTCCATGTGGATTTTATTTGTTTACTTCTATGTTGATTCAAATACTTCGAAGTTAATTTGGTCATCAGTTCAGTGTACTTTCATCTTTCCACATCTCCCTTAACTTTTCTCGGCATTTTATGCAATTAATCTGATATTTTGTCATTTTCTTCAGATTTCTTCCATAAACGACATGTAAGAAAGTCAACTGGATTTGCCGCTGCTGAATTTAAGTATACATGCCACAAGTGTGCGGCTATGAATAATAATGGGAGAAAGAATGTCAAGAGGGGGAGGATAGAGTTGCAAAAGAGTAAGAAAGTATCGAAAGCCTTGATGCCACTGAGCTCAAAAGTTAAATCCAGAGGCACCAAAAATAAACAGCCAGCAAAATCACAGAGTAGTAAAAAAGAGCCTGTTGCTATACCCCTCAGGCGTTCTGCTAGGACAGTTAAATTTGTAGCTGTGCAAAACAAAAAAATAGTACACAAAAGAGGGAAACAAACAAAAGCTGGAAGGGGTAGACCTAAGAAAAAAACAAAAGTTGACATATCGGAGAAAAAGAAACCAGCAGAAGTTGCTTGGCAGAAGAAGAGAATGCAATTATGCCGGATATACTGGCTAAATGGTCTATTGCTCTCACAAAAGCCAAATGATGAACGAGTGACACTCTTCAGGAGTAAAAAGCGTCTTGTTCTTTCTGGAGAGTTGGCTGCTACAGCAGATCAGCCGAAGTGCAGTCTTTGTGGTGAACTAGAATATACACCTACTTCAAATTACATTGCATGTGAAGTTTGTGGAGGTAAGGGTTTTATACAGTGTTGTGTCTATGTCGACGATCCCTTTGGTTATCTTGTTGGTGGCTGTCTACCATATATCTTGAGTTGGTTTATATCTTGTATATCTAATTGTTTTCCTGCGGAAATGCGTTCATTTATTTTCAGTTGTCCATCATGTTTAACAATTGAGGTGGCATTGTCTAGTATAATATTGTCGCTCTTGGGTCTGGTCTCCTCTAAGTTTGCTGTTTCAGCTTGTAATTGTTAAACTATAGGTGATAAGTGATAAATGTGAATACTTTCAGTTTATATAAAAGTGATAGTGTGAATCTTATTTTATAAAAATTTGAACTGGAATATGATCGTGACAGGAGATTTAAGAGGTAGTGTTGCAGAAGACAAGCTATCAATAGCTGTTGCTGTTCAATCCATTTTTGTTTGAGCTCCCTTTCTATTTCTCGAGTTACACTGTTTAATTTGTGCTACAAAGGTTGCTTGAAAAATGATATTTTAATGGATCTTTTAATAAAGGAAACTCCTATATCTAAATTGCACTTTATGAATCTGATTATTGGGTGTTGAAATGTGTAAATATTCTCCAGATTTTTCTTCTTTTCTCTCCTTATATCTCGTGCCTTACCTTATTTTCCTGTCTGATTACTCCATCCTGCAGACTGGTTTCATGGAGATGCTTTTGATCTTACAGCTGAAAGAATTACTAAGCTAATTGGATTCAAGTGCCACAAATGTCGGCAAAGGTCCCCTCCTTTTTGTGCTCATTTGCTTACAATGGGTAGCAAGGGTAAGCAGGTTCCTTTGGAGAGTAATAAGCGTGAAAATGCAAATAAAACATGTAACATTGAGTCCTGCTCAAGTAAGGGACCACTAGAACAGAAATCTCACTTGAATGATGAATCAGGATCTTGTTTTACTGGTGATAGTGATGAAAAGCATCCGCGAGGGGCTCTTCCTGATTCATGCCGTGCGGAGAATGGAAGTTTGCCTATTATTAGTTCAGAGCAGGGAGAAACTATTGATAGCTGTAGCAAGATGGATATTGTACTTCCAGATGAACCGGGCTTATTGAATGATAATGTGAAGTGTATCAAGGAGGAGGAGGATCAGAGACCATCGAATGAATTGTTGTCATCTGATGACAGCTCTTTGCTGAATGATCCCACGATAGAGGTGAAGGATGTGTCAGTTGGATCTGGGGAAAGACTTGAAGAAAATACTACCCTTGTGACAGGATGTACATCTTTCAAGTCTGCAGAGGATCTTACTGAAACAGGATTACCTTCATTAACATGACCAACAGAGGAATGGTAAAGCAACAGTCATTCCTGAATCTGTGGTAGATAGAGCTGTTATTGACGGACCTGAATTGTCCTCGGAGAAAATTTTAGTTTCAGATTAATTTGTAGGTGTTGAAGGGAAAAAATTAGGTTAGAGGTGTAGAATATACTTCGACTCATACAGTTACTGGCCGTAGTGTTACGGACATTAGCTCATTTGTGAATCCTCTTATGTTATTGGGATGTTCATTTATAAAGCAATATTTTGATACTTCAGTCATCATTGGAGTAAACAAAGAGAAGATTTGAAGCGTGTTTCTTTCCCTTCCAATGCATTCTTTGATTTTAGTGGAGACAAATTGGTTAATGCATTATTTTTAGAGGTGGCAAATGGATGGTGCCGATACCAGATTAAGTGCTTGGTGATGGTTAGACTTTTGTCCAGACACTTTTTTTCTTTAGATCATGTTAAGAAGCTTCTCAGATTTCTCTGGTTCCGCTTTTGACTTCTGGGAATGACATGCTATTCAGGCACTAGATGTTGATTCGAGACCTGGATTATTTTTGAGGTGTACCCAACCCCTTGGTTTAAGTGATGAAATTATTAGTCATGCAGTTTTATCACTGTACTTTCCTGTTTTACAGGTAAGTCCTTATATGGCGAACTCTCCTTCAGAGATGGATTCAACTTCAGTCTTTCATAATCACTTAATGAGAATCAGTAGGAAAGGAAATTTGCACCATGGGGTTCATGTTACCAATCATAATTTAATCATCTGAATTGATAAATCTTCAGTGATTTTCAGTGACCTTATCTGTATGGTATTTTGATTGGTTTTCAACCTCCACTTCAAAAGTCTCAAACTTCTTGCATTGCTCAGGTGGAGTGTACTTCATCTGGCAAACTAATTGTCCGGCTTTAAACGGACGCTATTGCAAATGCAGGAAATGCTGATTCTTTTAGGTGGATATAAACATCTGCAAGGAGTTAAAGGGCGCTTTATTTTCTGAAACTGCTTGTTTGTCATCTTTGTGTTTTTAAAGTTAGTCGTTGAGAGCTTTTGATGTTTGGTGTACATGTTGATAGACTACTTTGTCTCTCATAATAGGATGTACCAACTAAGTACTTTCATTTCCCAACCCAGCATTTAGAACTCCAACCATCTTTTTAGTGTTTGTACCATTGCTTTTGCTTTAGGTGTGAGTTATGGCTGCCTTATGCGGAATCCTATTCACTAATATCTCATATTATTTTTCTTCCGGGTTAGTTCAATAATAAGTTCTGCTGTGTGCAAAGCAAACTAGATCATAGATATACATCGAAACAATGAACTTCAAATGGATGTCTTATGCTTGGACATTTCAACTGCACTCTGATCTTGTGCTGCTTTCAGTTTGCCTTGTTTACTTGTGGCTTTGGATATCAATGCATCATTCTGTTCTGAATATTTACCTGATTGTTTTACGTTTCTTGGGTTCTCTAGCTTTGCAGTTTGATGAAAAGTCTTGTGGTGCCTCGTGGCATGAGCTTTTATGCTTGGTATTGTCATTAAATTTTGCTAACGAGTGGTACGTCCTCATCTCTTCCCTACTTCACTTGGATTAGAAGCTTTATTTGTGGTTCCTTTTGTGCCTTGTAGAAAAGAAATCATGTTTGAGAAAGCCTGTCTGTTGTAATTTATCAATATCAAACATAATGAAGGGTTGTCCATCTCTAACTGTGCTAACTGGAAGCCTGTGACTGTCTCGGATGTGATCCTTTACCCTTCCACGTGCTATCAGCTTTATAATTCTCTCTTTCTTTTCCCTTTCTCTTTCGTCTCTAGCCTTGGTTTTATTCTTGTCTCTTGCCAGCAGAAGGCAAGAGTTCTTTGGCTAAGCCTAACTGGAGTGAAACACATCTTTCCACAAAATATTGTACCCATTAGCGGATTCTGTATGAAGATGCGGATATCAGAACGGGAATTATGCAGCTATACATTAACTTATACTAAACAAACAGTTGTCGACCTGCAATTGATAGTTCTCTATTCGACAGATTGGATCAGGATGACACAGTTGGTTTGATGAGAGGATGATGTACTTGAGAAATGAGAAGACGGGGCTCCTGGTCTGTAACGTTTGACATTTCTTTTCGTGAGCTTGTTGGCTTTGAAGAATGACAAGCTTCAAAGCAGCGTAAATGATATTTTTTTTCCCAGTAAGAGTGGGCTATGGATATTATGGACTTAGTGCCCTATTAGCTCTGTGTGCTGTGAGTCTACAAGATCATTCCCTTAATCTTTGCTATCAGGTTAGGGGAAGTGATTCATAATATCATCCTAGCTAATGAATTGAGACCAGAGATGGTGTATCATGCTACTGGAGCTTCTCTGATTGATGTTATGCCAAGCATGGACTTCAGAAGTAATGGACTGCATGTTGTTTCTGTAGGCACTTAAAGTTTTTATCTTGTTGATGGCACTCCATAGAGTTCTTCACAAGTTTGAGACGGTTCGTGAAGGTAATTATCTATCACCTCTTCTATTAATCCTGCTCGTGGAGGGTCATAGATAACTTTAAAAGTTGCTCGGCATTGGCTGGTTCAAATGTTTTACACACAAAAGGGCAATGCAATGCAACTCACTCTTCTTAATTTGGGGATGACACCATCATAATATCTGAAGCAAAAGAATAACTAAGGAACCCCAGGGTGATACTGTCGTGCTTTAAAGCTGCTACTAGCGTGTATATTAATTTGGCAAAAGTAAAATCTCTGCTATCAGGGGGGGTCGAAGAGTTGCTACACTGGCTAGTATCTTGCGACGTGCTATTGATTAATTTGCTAATACTTATCCAGGTCAACCACTCCACTAGGATCCAGCTTTGTGATCATGCCGAAGTCTGAAGAGGGCACTTGCTTTATGGAAAAGACATTACCTGTTGAAAGGGTGGGCAGCTTACATTTATTGATTTCGTCCTCAGTAGCATACGTTGTTCGTCCAATGGCAACATCTGGAGGATGAGGTCAAGCACCACATAATATGAGGTAAAAGATTGAAATTGTTTGCCAACTGTCATTTTGGTTGGAATGAGCAATTACAAGTGTATTAGACTATTAGTAGAAGAAGGGGTTGCGGGGGTTGGTGGGGGTGGAATGGCTTCCTTGAGAATATCTTCTTCTTAAGAGCTGAATACTGGTCAAGTTGTTGCTGGGACATTTGCCTTTAAATGGTACTGTCTGTTGTATTTTGGCTGAAAACCAAGTTGCATTGGCACCAGACGAAGATAACTCTATATCAGTTATTTGCTCAAACCGAGGACAAGGGCATCAAATCACTTCAGGCCCTCTGGTAATTCTTATCCCGGAATTTTTAGGTTTAGAAGCAACTACAATCACTGACAAATGCAGCTTGTCAACAAGACCTACTGGGGGATGCCTTCGTGAGTAGCATTGCGACGGTAGTAGGACAGACGAACCTACTTGGACAATCTACCAACGGACTTGTCTCTGTTAAGTCCTCTTTCTCGTTCTATGCGGTAACATTTAGCATAGTGAGGATGTTCCTTGAAAAACAAATTGGAAACAGGTGGTCCTTCCTGAGTTCATGTTTTGAATAGAATCACTTGAATCCAACTTAATCCATACATTCTCCAGTGAGAGATAGAACACTAGCAAACTTCTGCTTGCATTTTAGGAAATCAGAGTCGTCGTTCAGCCACTTGTTTCTTCACTGTGAGACTGTCCATGATCTCTGCACTTGTTATATTCTCGTTTCAGCATACGATGGAACAATCTTGAAACATTGGCACTTGTTCAGAGAACGATCTATTAGTTAAAATTTTGTGATTAGCTCTACTTAACTAGTTTTGACATCGATATGAAAGTCTGATAGTGTCTTGTCTTAGATTGCTAGTATTACATGTTGTTTTCGTACTATCTTCTGCTTCGGTTTCCTAGTATCTTGCTGTTGTTACTGCTTGTTGCTATTGCTTTCTTCCATCTATTTTTCTGGCTCTTCTATTGCTGGTTTTATCTTTCTGGCCTTTGTTGTTATTACTATTTGTTTCTATTGTTTCTTTCATCTTCTTGAGCCGAGGGTCTATCGGAAATAGTCTTTCTACCCCCATGGTGGGGGTAAGGTCTGCGTACGCACTGCCCTTCCCAGACCCCACTTGTGGGACTCACTCCACTGGGTTTGTTGTTGTTGACATCGATATGAAAGTCAAAATAGCAGTAACCAAGCTGCCATATATCTCCACTTTGTTACATATCTACTCTGGTTTTATTTCGAACATCTTTTTGACCTATTCTCTTTATCGTATTGGAGGACATTCAAAACACTCAGATACAGATGAGAAAGAAGCTGTTTTTTTCGTGAGACTGATAAAGTAGTGACTAAAATGAAATACAATCCGATGATTTTGAATGAATAAATATTTGTACTTTTGTATTTTACGAGCTATTATTCTGTGTTGTTGTTGTATTTTACGAGCTAATTGATTCATTATAAATAGTCTTTATTTGGAATTTCATATGTTTTAATTTTCCAAGCTATCCTAAAAACGAGAATCTGTCGCAGTTGTCGATTAGGCATCAAGTAATTTAAAAGAAGGGTGATACACAATAACAATTAAAATGACACAAAGTGGTAAAATTAACTTTTCTAGTTAACGAAGTATACTTGGTCAAATTACTGACAGGCCAGTAAAGTCGTCCTTTCATTAGAGGAAGCATATTCATCTAATTGAGATATTATGGCAAAGATCGCTTTTAGCTTGCGACCGAAATTATTTATATCCGGTAGTTATAAAAGTGTAATGAATTTGTATATTTTTTGTATTTAACATATAGAGATGTATATATATATATAAAATATTTTTTTTTTGCTATTATTTTAAGAGCGGCTATGCATATTTTCTCAAGATATTACCATTTGTATAATGATTACTAATAAACTATGATTTGATCATTTAATTTGTAAACTACAAGTTGAAAAAACAAAGGAAAGCACTGTGTATTTTCTGCTCACACTTTCGCTATCGTCAAAATAATTAAATGGGTTAAAAATTTCTTTCAAATTGCATAGAAGCAAAACGAACAACAAAAATCTAAAAATGGAAGACGGAATCTTTTGACTAAACCTTCTCTATTCTTCTTTTCCTTAAATGGTTACACCAGCTTAAATTAGATCATGACAGACGCAAAAAAGAAAGGTATTACCCGGCGGATTCATGATTTAAAGTTTATGTCTTTTTTCTAATCCTTCTAAATTATTGAGTTATAAATTATTTAGTATCGAAATCTGTCTTTTTTCTAATCCTTCTAAATTATTGAGTTATAAATTATTTAGTATCGATTCCATTTATAATTGAAAAGAAGACTCACAAGTGGTTGTTGAAAAAAGAAGAGATCTTTATTTTTATTGTTCTTATCAAACAGCCGCAATTCAAAATTTTCTGATTGAAAGATAGAAAGCATAAATTCGCGTCGCCTACTTGCTGAAAGCAAAAATTAATCGAAAAAAAAAATCAGTGCGGCCATGCTGGAACGACTGAAACAACTTGCTACAAAACTACCGAACATGGGTAAACATACGATAAGTAGATACATAATTTCGAGTGATCAGATTATGTAGTGGTCAGCCTTATATAGCTCGCTGAGCCTCGCTTCCATTTCCCCTTCACTTATTAATTAGGTGGAAAATAGTTGTCGGTATTTTATAAGCGATTCACTAATATATGGAGGGAAGAATCCGAGGGTAGCCTAACCAATACTTGTAACGTATGCAAAATTTGGGTCAAAGCTATCGAATTTTGTCAAACCCATATTGTCAACTCTACATCCGCCCGCCAGTATCGATGCCGATAAATAGATGCAGGTAACCAATGGTACAATCAACGTGCGCACACAATTTAATCAATAACTATTGGGGTCTTTACCATTCTCGGAAAAAAAAAAAAGAAGGAAAACTTACAAAAATGTCCCAAATAAATCTCAACTTACCAACCTCTAGCCATTAGTCATAGACTTACCAAAACTAGCCAACAAAAATTGAAAAACCAAATAATAGGGTTCTTTCTCTCAAAGAATCACATGCAAAAATCACCTTTCATATTTTTAAGTGTGATTAGCAACATTAGATACAAGACGGAAAAGAAATTTCATGGACGGGGTAGCAAATAAGGTGATGAAATACAAAAATCTATACAAATATTCCAAAAATCTAAACAAAAAAGGAACTTTTTCTATGGGTATAGTTAAAATTCATTGAAAATATATAGATAAGTCAATATACAAAATTTGAGGAAGATTGGAGGTGATTTGGACTGGTTTTGTATCAAAATTCATAATTAAATCGAGTTCAAAAAAGTCTTCTGCGATACATGTATCACGCATGTATCTCACACACAGGTATACATGGATATACATGTGATACACAATTGATACATATGTGATACACAAATGATACACAGTGTGTACACATATCATTTTTTTTCATGTTCAGCTTTTACTTCGAATTTTCAATTCAAACCACCTCAAAACTTCACCAAATCATCCGAAAACTGAGATTCAAGCTCCTTAAGTTGTGCCCAATCTATTCTAATAACACCCACTCAAAACAAAGCAAAAAATTGATATTTTTTTGCTACAAATAGGTAATTGGCTAATTTGGCTAATATTAGTAATATTTTATCAATTGGCCAATTTTTGTAATGAGCTACCTATAAATGGACATAGCTGGTAATTTCCCAAAAAAAAAAGGAGACAAAGTGAACGAGAAGCCAATATGACAAATGGTCTGGGCCTTTGGACTAAACTTATATTCAAAAGGGATTTTTTCCTTCCTATACCATATATGAAACTTTATTACCAAATATGTACATAGTATCTAAATTACCCTAGTCCACATTTTTCCTACAATTTCTGTACCATTCGTTTATTAGGAATTAATAGGGCAGAATCTTCCCTTAATAACGCGCGAAAAATCAGGAAAGAATCTTGGGATTGATTTATTCTACATTAAATTCAAGTTTTGAAACGGAAAGGAGATTTCGCATCTGCGTAATTTCTTCTTAAACTACAATTCAAAAATTTTTAAAAAAAAAGTACGAACAGCTTCAACAAACTGAATTCAAATTGTAGAATTCAAATCTTCGAGATTCAACAACTCAAAATTGCTATATTCTGTTCTTCGTCGTTTTCAGAAATCAAATTGGCGATCATATATCTGTTCTTCATCTTTTTTTCTCTCAATCTAGAAATCCAAAAAAACGAAAATTTTTAGAAGAATACATCAGCAACAACACGCAATCATGTCCAGAATCGCAATCATGCTACAATTGAATGGGAATTGGGATAACTATGGCAGATTTAGAGATTTTGAAGTTGATGCCATTGTGGTAGATGAGAATGCAAGCTACAGTATTCTGATTTCTACAATTGCAGAACAACTATCGATTGATACTTCAGAAAAAATTGTAGAAATCAAATACATGGTGAACGACAATTGTCCCCCAATGGAGATTAGGAATGATATGGGGGTTCGTGTATATATGGAGACCAAAAAGGAGAATAAAAACCTAGGTTCATATCCGTTATGTATAAGTGTACGAGATTTCAATATGGAATTGGCAATCACCAACGATAACACAAGTGCAGGTTTGTATAGTTCGAAATTGCATAGAATTATGGTTTTACGGTATTATCTACAAAATTACTACATTTGCCTACAATTAAACTACAAATCAGTTTAATGAAAGAATAAAGCAATATTGTTTTCAAAATTATCTACAAAGTTACTACATTTATACGACAAAATAAACTACAATCTATGATTAGAAATTATTGATTTCAAAATGTTGTCTTCAAATAAAACTACAATCTATGTTTAGAACAAATTCTAGTCAAATAAAATACAAATCAGTTTAATTATTTACGAAGCATTATTGTTTTCACAAATTTCTACAAATTGCAACAGTTATAGTACAATTTAACTACAATGTCTGACATCCTAAAATGGATGACTACAAAATTTTCACTATATCTACAAATTATCTACGAAGATTCTACAAAATTATAATGACATTGTTTATCTTTATTTTGATGCAGGCCCGTCTGGATCCCTAAAGTTACTTGATATGCCATCCTCTCCAGCTATAGAGGAATATCAAAGTGAAATAATAACAGAATCTACGCAAACTGCTATTGAAGAAGGACAAGTGTATCAGGACAAGCAAACTGTAGCTGCTGCAATGAAGCACTTTTCTGTGATACACAAGTTCCAGTTCAGAGTTAAAAGATCTAGTCATAGAAGGTATGGAGATATTTGTGGAGAAAAGATCATTAAAAGCAGTGTTTTACTCAAGATATGTGTTTTTTAAACATTGTAGATAAATTGTAGTTACATTGTAGTTAAATTGTAGTTTATGTTACTTTATGTTAAAACAGTCCTTTTGTTGCATCTACATTTATAATCTGTATTAAATATTGTATTTTTTTTAGCTACTGGCTTGTATGCGTTGGTGAAAACTGTAAATGGCACTTCAAGGCAACGTCAATTAATGATTCCGCAATGTTCAAGATAAGGAGTTTCAACCGACAACACACATGCTCCTAAATGGACGAAACATTCATACAGCGCAAACGTACTGCAACTGTAGTTGGTACCATGGTCATTCCAAAGTATTGTGATCCTAAGACTGTTTACACACCAAAGGACATACAAACTGACATGTTATTCGAACACGGAGTGAACCTAAGCTACATGCAAGCATAGAGAGCAAAGGAAAAGGCTTTACAGTTTTTGAGAGGGAATCCGGCTGACTCCTACAGAAAATTACCCAAATATTTTTATATTCTTGAGGAGACTTATCCTGGTTCGGTTGTTAAATTGAAGAAGACAGC